TTGTGATCTTGCTTGGCTCCATCTTGTCCAGGTGACCTCTGACACCAGCATAGATGACTGTTACCTGCTCCTCGATGGCCATGGGAGCTGGAGGCAAGGTCAGAGAAAGTTTAGTGGTCCAATTAAGCTTTTATAAAGACAACAGTTAATTACATTTAAAATGTCATTTAAACTAAATTTGTAGTTGCTTTGAAATGTACAATATGGTGATATAAGTGACAAAAGGAAATTGTAATTAACACTCACAGTACTGTCCTTGCTTCAGCAGTTCAGTGAGCCTAACACCCCTGTTAAGGAGCTGCTGGGTGGCAGCGTCGAGGTCAGAACCGAACTGGGCGAAGGCAGCCACCTCACGGTACTGAGCCAGCTCCAGCTTCATGGTACCAGCCACCTAGGAGGTAAAAAAAGAAATAGAAAGTTTGACTGTAGCTTCGTGCTTAATGAAATGCTTTTTTTTTTTTACTTGAATGTATACACTGCAGATGTTTCATTTAAAATATGAATTCCAGATGTTACCTGCTTCATGGCTTTAGTCTGGGCAGCAGAGCCTACTCTGGACACAGACAGACCCACATTGATAGCTGGACGGATACCCTTGTAGAACAGCTCAGTCTCCAAGAAAATCTGCAGCAAACACATTTGGATTAAACCCAATATAACAGAGTGACGCAGACATTTTCATGAATGTGGCAGCAAGAGAAAACTTAGAAAACAACCTGTCCATCTGTGATGGAGATGACGTTGGTGGGGATGTAGGCAGACACATCACCAGCCTGAGTCTCGATGACGGGGAGGGCGGTCAGAGAGCCACCACCGAAGTTGTCGTTCATCTTGGCAGCTCTCTCCAGCAGACGGGAGTGCAGGTAGAACACATCACCAGGGTAAGCCTCACGACCAGGGGGACGACGCAGCAGCAGGGACATCTGACGGTAAGCAACGGCCTGAGGGGGGGGAGGAAAAGTCAATTTACAAAAGGTTGCATGTGGGACTGCTGCCTTAAATTCATTATTGATATAAATGAGGAGAGGATTTCCCCCCAGTGATCTGAGCCTTTACCTGCTTGGACAAATCGTCATAGATGATCAGGGCATGCTTGCCATTGTCTCTGAAGTACTCTCCCATGGAGCAGCCAGAGTATGGGGCCAGGTACTGCAGAGGGGCAGCATCAGAGGCAGTGGCAGACACCACGATGGTGTACTTCATGGCATCAGCGTCAGTCAGCCTTTTCACCAGCTGAGCCACAGTGGACCTCTTCTGTCCGATGGCGACGTAGATACAGTACAGCTTCTTCTTCTCGTCAGTCCCTTCATTGAAGCGCTTCTGGTTGATGATTGTGTCGATAGCAATGGCGGTTTTGCTGGAGAGAAGATGCCCGATTATTTGAGAGAAGAATAATATGAATTGTTATAGCTGCAGTTCCCCTCGATCAAAAACATTTCTCTGTTTCAGAACATTTACCCAGTCTGCCTGTCACCAATGATCAGCTCACGCTGTCCACGGCCAATGGGCACCAGACTGTCCACAGCCTTGATTCCAGTCTGCATGGGCTCCCTCACAGAGATACGGGGGATGATACCAGGGGCCTTAAGACCCACACGCCTACGCTCCGAGGAACCCAGGGGACCCTGAAAAAAAATAAAGTAAATAAACAAATGAGCTGTCATATCAAGAAGATAACATTGCTAATTTATTAAATTAGATTAGTAAAGGTATTAACTATTTTTGGTTAATGTTGATTAGTAGTTAAACAGTTGGATTCAAGGGTTCAAGATCTAAAAACTAGGTAACAAAATAAAAATAATACATTTCATAATAAATGAAAGAAAACATTTCTTTGACAACGACCATTGAGAAGAATTATAATTGAGTTGTTCCAGGTTGATTCATTGGTAGTTAAAAAGCCATTAAAATCTCAAATAACCTTTCCGTCAATGGCGTTTCCCAGAGCGTCCACCACACGGCCGAGCAGCTCCACGCCGACTGGAACATCCACAATGGCACCAGTTCTCTTCACAATGTCGCCTTCCTTGATCAGCTTGTCGTTACCGAACACCACAACACCAACGTTGTCAGGCTCCAAGTTCAGAGACATACCCTGAAGGAAAAAGCATTTTAGACCTTGTAAGCAAGTTCGTAGTTTTACATTCATTGAGCATAGAAACAGGAAAAACAGAAACAAGTTCAAGACACTGGTAATTTAAGATTGTGATACATCTCACCAAAACGTTCATGTTCTTTGTCCATTGTGTGCAGTTTTTAGACATACCTTCAGACCAGAAGAGAACTCCACCATCTCTTCTGCCTGGACGTTCCTCAGCCCGTAGACTCTGGCAATACCATCACCGATGGACAGCACACGGCCGGTCTCCTCCAGGTTTGCAGAGGTGTCAGCTCCCATGATCTTCTCCTCCAGGATGGAAGACACTTCGGCTGTGCCTGTCATAAAGATGACCAACAACATGTAAGAATACAGAAACTTTATTCATGCATGCACTATCAATATAATATTATGACACAATATTTTTGCATGTCCCAGATTAATTTAACAATAAATTAATATAAATCCCTAGATTTGAGAATAGATTTTAGTTTTAGTCACAATACTGAAGAATAATTTAATTATCTGTATATTTCCTTTTTGTAGAAAATGTTATATTATGGCTGGAATCATGGCTATTCAGCTTTATTTCACAAATGAACGCATCAAACATCTTGGGAATATGAGAAGCTGCTTTTCCAAACAGTTCTGTGGTGAATGTGACATTGCAGTAACCAGATAAACTCTTAAAAATCACAATATGACCAGTGACCTTCATGGATCACGTCTGTGTGCCTGACGAGCTGGAGGATAAAGTCTGTGTCCGGTTGTTGAGGACTTTCTCACCTGTCTTCTGCAGCCATGGTCGGTGTGTGTGGAGGTGGTTGACCCCGACACAGGCGGCCGGCACAGCCTTGGACACCTGCGCACATAGCGTCAAACAGACATTACAACATGTTTGGGGCCAGAAACAAGGAGGTTCACCGTGAACATTTGCAGCGAGGCTGTTGAAGTCGGTGCGGTTCGAACGCTGGTTTGACTGGTGCAGCGGAGGGGACATGCGCTGTCAGACTTTCTGACCTTCACAGCGTGGCTGAATGAGCCGTTAGCCGGCTGCTACCGTTAGCATAGGTGCTATCTTTAGCCTCGCTCGCTGCAGGACGAAAAGAAGGGCAACGTCCACAAACGCATCCGTGACATCGACTGCAATATTGTCAGCATTAATATTTACCTAGTTCAGATGAGTTGCGTGAAAAAAAAACCCGCATTCGCGAGCGGGTGCAAAGTTAGCTAGCGGCCTGTAGCGTTCACGTTACCCTTCACGCCCACAAGGCTACGCTGACATTGCGTTAAATCGCTGCAAATTCAACACCACAGGTAAATTGATCAGCTTGAATACTTACAAATCCAGCCCTCCTGGGCAGGCTCCGGGCCAAAGCTGCTGCAACTCTCACGGATAACATGTTGTCGGGTTGCTAATGACCTGTCCTCCACCACCGCCTGGGAGTCAATGTAATGGCTGAATGGACTCTTCTTCTATTTATGTGTCATGTCATATTTCCTGCTCCGACTCATTGTTGCCCCCTGTCGACAGGGAGAAGACACTGCCAGATATATTTTATACTGTACTGTACTATACTGTACTGTACTGTACTATACTATACTATACTATACTATACTATACTATACTATACTGTACTGTACTGTACTGTACTAACCCACCAGGGGAGGGATTGTGCAATATGTACAGTTAGTCAGTTTTGGCCACGGGCAGTTAAAGTTCTGATACTACTGCTCCTGCTGCCACTATTACAATACAGGGGTTATTTTTATTAATTTGCAAACACTGTTATGTGTCGTTATTGTCTGCACCTGTCAGAGTGACACAAATTCCATGATTGCTCCTCTAAAAACTGCAAAATGCTATATTTGAATTATTTTTATTTCCTAATTTTTCACATCTATTTATAGGTTTCACAAAAATAAAATACACTACACATAAAAGAAACTACTGTTACACCAACCAAAGCACAAAAGATATATTGATAATCCATATGAATGGTATAGAGTGAAACGGTGTAGAATCATTTGCCAAGTGCATAAATGTATTTACATTTTTACATTTCCATCTCCTTCCCAGCTGTATTCCTTATCACAAAATTAATTCAATTAACCATTAGGCCTGACCTGGGGCCAGGAAATTGATGTTTAAGTGGAAAGAATGATTGTTATGATGATATTTACAGATTCCCAATTTATTTTATAACTAATATCTATATGTAGGAAACATTACAGTGGTTGTGTTGGCAGCTAATCGTAGATCATGATGGTGGATCCTGATCGTGGTGACAGCTGATCATGGACTATGATTACAACAAAACTGCTTGAAATACAATACGTCTACGTACCCATTACTGACAATAACTCCTCAATTAATTTGTCATTGCTGCCCCTTCATCTGTATCAGACATTTTCTTTTTGCCCTTAAACGTAGGGTAGTATTTATTGTTACAAGATCTTTGTTGCTATGTAACTTGAATGTTATGTCTCCCTTGTAAGTCGCTTTGGATAAAAGCATCTGCTAAACGACCAAATAATAATAATAATTCTTATGGAAAAACATTGACTTTTCCATTATGTTACAAATTGTGATTTGTGAATATGGGGTATAAGAATACAATTTGATTGATGACTGATTACTTAAATTGCAGCAGATAAGCTGTAAGTGAGGTTGTCACACTTTTCTTAAAATTTCCCTGAAATTTGAAAAACTCTTATCTTCAGTTTTTTTGTGACCTCTGACAAATGAATAAACTTCGTTATTAAAAGACATTGACTGAACTTGAACTGCTCAAATATCAACACAAACTATTCAAACTCATTCATGTAATCGTTTCCCATTTCTCCCCAAAAATAAAAACCTGAACGCAAAAACAACTTTTCACGGTGACTCCATTGTTCTTCGAGGTCAGTGTGGAGACTCGCAGTGTCGCAACATCGCCCCCTGTCGCCCCGGACGGCGCACGACACGTCTGCTTTTGTCGGAGTCAGACAGTCGATCCGCTCGGTTCTCCAGCAACAAGCAGCCGCCTGAATGTAGATCCGCATGGGCTAGTACTTCTCTGTCTCTCCGAATAACCCAGCGGAACCTTGAGATACGGATCCCAGGATGGTGTTAGTGCATGTCGGATACCTGGTTCTTCCCGTATTCGGCTCCGTAAGAAACAGAGGTACGGTATTAATATTCATATCGATCCCAAAACATGTGCCCTGTTTATCTTAATATTCACTGCAGCTGCTGGCTAGCTAGCCGGAGCTTAGCCGCTTGGTTAGCTCGCGTTAGCTAGCTCGGGAATAGCGATCGGATGATTCGCAAACGTGACTTTTATTGAACCCGTGTTGGTTTAAGATTAACGCGAACTATCGAACGACGCAGTTTATGTTGTGCGATCGCGTCTGATTAAAAACAAATACCGCCGCTAAAGGGTAAGCTAACTGGCTCCTTTGGCTCAGGCTATGTCTTGGAGCGGAAACATCTCTCACAAAGGATTCACACATGCGGTCAACCCCCCCCCCCCTCCTCAAAAGAACGATAGATATTATTTCGAGACGCATTTTATTCGTGTTGCATATAATTCACAATACGATGCATGGTCGTCACCTCCAATCCCCTCCAGCCGTATTTGCGCTGCAAAAATACCGCAAAATAGACGTAGCCTCTCCAGCCAGTCAGCTTATCTGAGCGCGGATGATGTCATTTGAAGATCATCTGCTCCTGCTATCGCTCGTCGTTTTCTCTCCCTCTCTCTCTCCTTCCACCGTGTTTTCACTCGGTATTCTCCGCGTCGATCGGCCCGTAGACTCCATCGACACACGGTCTATTACCCACAGGGAAGCGTGGAACCTCCCGATCCATCAAAGCATCACTCGCCTTTTTTTTTTCTTCTTCTTCTTTTATTTGCTAATTGGCAATTCAGCAGCTGATTGTTTGGAGCTGACGAATTGCAGCAACAACAAAACCAAAACCAGATAAAACAATGCTAAAGCTACAGTGTAACATTAATTTCACAACAGTGGCCTCAGTGATTTCATTGTGCTTTTATTTCTGTTCTTATTTCCCTGTTTCATAGTATGGAGGCTGGCTCTACATTCTGCATTTATCAGATCTTTGTCGTCCCCCCCATTGTGTAGCTAATGATCATCTGCTGCTGTGTGGTGTGGCGTGGCCTCTGCCTGTTCTCTGCATTTAGCTGTATTGTGAATCCCTTCTTCATTTCCTCTTTCCATCAGAAGACGACATTGGTATTAAAAAAAAGCACACCCCCTCCCTCCCAAGATGTACTCAGCCATAGACTTTCCATGTTGAGCTAAAACAATAGCTAACACCTAGTCCAGAGCACCTTTTTGTCTTTTTTCTTGTCAAATTGCTGTAGCACTGAGTTAACATTTTAGCTCCTTTTTTTAGATATCAGTTGAATGTCATTGTGTACCTCCCATCCAGTCTTGATAGACAACATGCTGTAAATTCCTGTAAAGTGGATACATTTTGCATGATCTCAAACACCGCACTGCATTGTTGAACACCAGAATTTGGCTCATCCTCCTTTTCTCTTCACACAAGGTGCAATGTACGTGATTTAAAAAAAAAAAGAAAAAAAGACCCTCATTTAAAAAAAAAACAGAGCATGCGAATTGGAACCCACGTGCATGCCATGTTTGTTGTTGTTAAAACATTGCAGCAAACGCTGTGACGTGATCGCTTGCAATGACTGAAAAGGTACACTGCACCTGCACACAACAACCTGCCATAACTGTCTCCATTTTTGTGTAATCCTTTTTGTTCCCTTTGCAAATTTCAAGCTTCGAATCACACTGAATTGTCAGGGCCGTTTGCCGTCTCATGGGCAAATGAAACTAAACATTCAAGCAATCAAAACATGCTCACTGGTGGTTCATCACTTCCTTATTTTCCCCCACTAACATACGGCCAAAATGCTATCCATTTCACAGGGATGCCTATTTTCCTGCACTGCTAAAAAAAGAGATCCTCTATTAGTAATAACGTCTTTTATTGTTTGGTTGTGGTCTCTCTTTACCTTTTGTTCTGGTAATAGTACTTTCAATGCATGATCACATTTTATGATTCATAATTTTTGGTTTTTGTTTTTCTACATTGACTAGTGAAAATCCAATGTAATCTTTCTGTAGTAAAGATGTTACCCTGCTGTACTGGAATCATGTGCTGTAGCCAACACGTCTGCTCATTGGATGCCGCTTTTGTTCTTTTTAACCCTATATGGAGCATGGTGGGCCTTGCCTTCAGTCTATGTTGTTTATTTTTGTTGCATGGAATTATACTATTATTACAAGCAAAAAACAGGACAGAAAACACAAAATCCACATATACTAATATTTTTCAATAAAGAATATAGTGTTTTTCCTAACCTTCAGTGTGCTTCTTGCTGATTTCCATTTATTGTCCTCCCTCTCCCTTGTCCCTACCTGCCCCCTCTCCACCCCCCCACCCACCTCCTCTCCCGCTGTGACAAAGATAGACGATTTCCACGCTTCCTCCATCACAGGGCCCGAATGAGTCTATCTGCTGTCATTCATGGTGATCGTTTTCACTGAGATGCTTGAAAACGCAGTGTGCTATTTAAAGTCTAGACTTGAGCCTTTAACCCACGGCAGCAAGGTCATCTGTTGTCTACCCGGCTACACACCGGCAACCTCCTTTTAAGCTGTAAATTTTGCCCGAAAGTCGCACGGCTTTCCTCTTCTGGGCGTGTTTTTAAAATCATACTGCCTTTCTCAAGCGTACTCCAAGTAAATGCAATGTAGACTTAGCCTATTTCCTCATGATTTTTTTGGGGAAAAAAAGAAGATTCCACTGTTTACATCAAATTCGTCATGTATTTTACACTGTCAAGGCAGATTAAACTCAAACCGTAGTGGAATTTAGCATCTTGCACAATTTTAATCTCTTAACTGGCAGGTTTCTGTAAATTTCACTGCTTCACTTTCTGCCAAATGGACTTAACAGAGCACAGTTTTGTTGAATCCTGCTCCGCTGGAGGCCCACTATGGCTCTTTTCTGGCCGGGATTTCCTCAAAGGTTTCTAATCAAAGCTAAATTTGTTACTGTAGTGTCTCAGTCCTTCCATAATCAAAAAGATCTTTTTCAGCCAAAGCACAGTATTAATACCACATTGCACCACAGCACAAGCTAGCCTGTCTTTTTCTCCCTGTTGAGTCTTGACAGCAGTCTGTTCAGCGCTGCTGCCAAATAGCTGTGGTTGGAGGGAGTTAAAAAGCATTCAAGCTATTTCCTCTCAATCCTGAATGTTCGTATGGGAGAAGAACTTGTAGAGCTTTACTGTAAGTGTAAGGCACAAAGAGACAGTAGATTTCACTGAAACATGTTTAATAGTGAGATTTTATTGCCTGGTTTCATTTTTAAGAATGAAGGAACTGTTCTTCAATGTTGAATAGATAGAAACTTGGCTTCGAAACAGTTTAATGTAAAGCAAATCTTAGGTATAAAGGTTAACTTGCATGAGAGCATTCACTCCCACTCAGCTGCAGAAATGATAAGAAGTGAGCTGCGCTGAAGATCTGGTAGATTTCATCTGTTCTGATCCAGTCCGCTAGTCTGTGAATCAGAAGACCAGGAGTCACTCCAGAGGTCGGAAATGCAATTAAAGAAAATGAAAAGCTCACGTTGTGTGTGCAGGACCGAAAATGGTTGTCATGTTCATGGTACTTGTGGTAACCATCATTTTCCCACCCCCACAGAAGTATTTTTCACCCTAGGTAAGAGGTAGGGCTTCATTAACATGCTATATCACACACACAGTGACACCACATTTCACCCACAATTAATTCCAGCTAATCTCTTCCCCTCGGGTGCCTGACGACTTCTCCTTATCCTCCACAGGATCCCATTTCAACCGGCAACAGCAACAGCAGCAGCAGCAGCACAGCCATGCTACCTCTTGCCGGCACTTCCAGTTAGGTCCTCAGGCTCCGCTGCCCATGGACTTCCCCATGCCCCACCCAGGGCAGCCACAGTCAGGCATTAACCCCCACTTGGCCCCTCCCGGCCACCAGCATGGCCCTCCGCTCCACCCGCCCCTTAATCCCCTGCCCACTCCCCAGTTCCAGGACATTCCCGCCCCTCCCTTCCTACCTCAGGCATTACACCAGCAATACCTCCTCCAGCAGCAGATCCTTGAGGCCCAGCACCGACACATCCTGCCACCCTCCAGGTATCCACACAGGTTTGCAGGGAAATGTACTGTACAAGTGATGGTTCAAGTGGATCCTTTGCACAGATTCATATTCACTGTTTCCCGGGGGTAAAAAAAATCAGGATGTTTTCAAATACTTGGTTATTTTTGTCAGTAGACGCACCCCAGAGAGAGTTCCTCACCAGCCCCACAGATTACGGCCTGGGTACGAGTTTGCTCCGCCTCTTCATGTGCCCCCTCAGCCTGTGGTGCAGCAGCCCCGTTACCTGGCTGAAGGCACAGACTGGTAAGAAGTATACCTCTGATAATACAGAACACAGTGCCACATCGGCAAACAGCAATTTCTTTTCATTTGCTAGAAAAACATGGTGTAATTTCAGATTTCATAAAATGACTGCACCATCAGCCTGCTGTCACACATTCAATGGGTTTAGTACCAAATTGAAAAAGAGCCCAAAGCGAATCAGCTCTTATTAGATGCTAAAATTGGAAATATACACTGTAATACATTTTCATTTAGTTTGAATTATTAGAAAAGATTCAGATCTTAGTCCACAATCTTTTCCATGTACATCAGAGTTTCTGGAGAAGTACTCCTGTGGTTGGAAATCACACTGTGGTTGTTGCTGCACTGCTAACAAAAGACAATTTGTCAGAAATGCGGTAAATGACTAGTTTGTAAATGACTTGACTTGATTGTCGGTTTCTGTGCAGGGATCTAAGTGTCGATGCTGGACTGCCGCCCCACCAGTATCACATCCATCCACTGCCACAGCACTATCAGCACTACCTGACCTCTCCTAGGATGCACCACTTCCCTAGAAACAATGCCTCAACGCAAGTGGTGAGCGTCCTCTTCCTCGCTACAATCAGTCATGCTCGCCTCGGTGAACTCGCAGTGTTCTCCTCTAGTTTTCCTGAGATTAATCTTGATACCCAGCAACCGGGGACGACCTGTGTTCCTGTGTTTTTTTTTTTCTCCTCCTCCCTGATTACTGCTGCAGAGCTGACACAAGCTTCTTTTATCTGTCATCTCCCAGGTTGTGCATGAGATCAGAAACTACCCATATCCCCAGCTGCACTTGCTGGCTCTGCAGAGTCTCAACCCCTCCCGCCATGCGTCTGCTGTTAGAGAGAGCTACGAGGTTTGTGCGCTCCTTCTCTGTCTCTCTCTCAATAGCAGACGCACCAGTCAACACTAATTTATCTTTGCGTTCTTTGTGACCAATGTGCTGGACAGGCTTGAGTGTGTAACTGATTGTCTTGTTTCCAGTTTCTCTGTGTTCCAGATGCCTTTAATGGCCCAGCTGTCTTCAATCTCATGACATTTGTTTTCATTTGAACAAGATGCTATTATTTTCTAAGAGGTGCTTTCTGGATCCTTGAACCACCAACTTATATTTTCATGTATTATGCAAATTCCTTTTTTTTCTCTGGAGGGATTTGTATTTGTTATATAAATTAAAAGACATTCACATATTGTCTCCTTTTGTAGGAGCTTCTGCAGCTGGAGGACAGACTGGGCAGTGTCAATCGTGGAGCGGTCCAAACTACCATAGAGAGATTTACTTTCCCCCATAAGTACAAAAAGGTAAAATAGTCCCCAGGTATAATACCTTCACGCTGAGAGGAAGATCGATTTGATGTGGAGTGGTATAGGGGAAGAATTGTGCGAGAAATTAGAACCAAAAGAAAAGACAGGAATGTAAAAGGTCAGCATTGGGTGGAGAAGATCAAGAAGTGAAGATGAGGGTTGGAAGGGGATCAGGAGTCTCACAGCAGTTCAAAGGTCAAACTCATTTCCGTTGGCAGCTTAGTGAGACAGGTCTGCAGCATGCACAATTCCAGCCGAGGGATGACTCATGCAGTTGTCTGCAGATATGTGCGTGGAATGAATTTAAAAAAGCATCAGCACTGAATATGACCCAAATTCTGTGCAAGGAGTGTCAGATCATTTAGTGCACTGGGAGTGAGTAATTGAGTCTTTTCCATCTGATGTCTTATTGTTTTTCTCTGAGATGCATGATAAAGTGACTCTTTCCCTCCTTTCTTGGCCGACTCAGAGCCACCTATGGCAAAAAGATAACACGCAGCTGCATGACGCGCTGTAATAACTGAAGTCTGTTTGCTTTGCTCGCTGCAGAGAATACCCCAGGACCTGAAGATGTGTCTGGATGATGAGGAGCTGGACACAGATGAGAAGTGCACCATCTGTCTGTCGATGCTGGAGGACGGAGAGGACGTCAGGTACAACCGCACATTTAACTGTTGCTTTTTCAGTGGGGGTGGGGTGTGTGTGTGGGGGGGATAATTGTTATGCAAATGTGAACATAATAGCTTTACATATCATTTGTTGTCTGCTTGGGTATGAGTATGAGTGGGCAGAGAATAACCTCAGGAAGAACCCATTAGATTTTGGAGTGGATCCAGATAAATGGGTTGATCCATTTAATATCTGTCTGCTGCTGTTCCTACAGTCTGTTTGTCAACCTAACCTGACATGGCTGTAAATCTATTCCAGCCACATGATTGGTTCGGCGCGGCACTATTATCATTGTCACTGGCTGTTCGTGTTGTCGGTTAAAACGTGGATGGAATGAGTTCTATCGACCGTGTCTTATATTTCTATCGAGGAAAAGTTATTTAGCGATAATCATCTTTATCCTTTTACCGCCCAGCCCCAGTCTACTGAGGATATGCTTGTGACTTAGGTGATCCAGAATTTTCTTTCTATCTTTGGATTTTATTAAAATGTCTTGAAACTGTTTGATGGATTCCCATGAAATTCTATACAGATACACACACATATATATATATATATATACTCTCTCCAGACGAGTTATCCTGTAGACTTTGGTTATCCCTCACCTTTCGGCCACCATGAGGTTGGCAGGTTGTGTTGTTTAGCTAAATGTCCTGAAAACGTTTGGATGAACTTCCATGAAATTTCAGAGCTCTGTTGTTAGTCATCACTAGATCATCCTTCTTATGTTCTTTTGCCTGGTGAGTTTTTAGATCAGCGTGAAAATTCCTGAGATAGAGATAAAGCAGTGTCTCATAAGCTCAATTTGGAAAATATGCACAATGCGGTCCGCGTAGACACAGTGTTGTTACTCTTGGAACCGCTCCACATACACATATACACATATACACACTAGACCTGAGAAAAACACACATTTCCCATAGCACTGCTTCAGAATGGATTCACAGCCATAGAGTTGAAGCAATTTTTAACCCTAAATTGGTTCTGCCAAGTAAGTTCAAAGCATCAGGACCAAAAATCCTATCACAGGATTTCTTCCAGCACCTCATCTTAAAAAAAACTCTCTCTGAAGACAACATTAGCATTTCACAAATCTTATGATGTGTGTCCAGTGTTGCGATCTGTCAAACTGGCAAAGTGACAGAGCAAGTTATTTTATTTTCTGAGAAAGAAAAAACAGACATGAATAAAAAAAAGTCAGTGAAATCCTTTCCAGGGTTGGGTGTTTCTGGTCCCCTGATATTTTACGAGTTGGGTCATGTTCAGAGGAAAGCTACATTTATAATTATAAGCCTGTAGAATATGTTTATTCAGCCATGTTCTGAATCCTTAAACTCTCTGGTCTTTTGATCATTCATTAAGACTCCACTGCATCGACACTTAGATCCACTGAATCACAGTCAGATAAAACAAGTAAATGTATAAAGAGCACATGTCTGGACACAAGCGCATCTTAGATGATAGTCATGAGTGGACAGGTGTGATGATTAATACATTCAGGACACACGCTCACCAAAGAGAAAATGAGGAGTGTGTGAAGTGGAATTGATTTAAAAAGGACCGTTAACCAGAGAAGTGTCCTCTGATGCTTTCAAGGGAATCTGACCTCAGAGCGACATGTCAAGAAAAGATTTTTGAAATAAAATAATTTCACTTTTCTTATAATTATTGGTTGATTTAAAAAAACATTTTTAATGACAGACTCAGATCACAGGGCTGTTGAAGGACTCATGTTGAGATATGAACTGTAGAATGAATGCAATCATGTTCCAAGGACTAATATGTGGATGGTTATTTAAGTCCTCATTAAATAGTCTACAAAACTCTCTTGCTAACTGTATTGTCAAGTCGATCCTTGCTTTTGTAGCAGCAGTCACAATTTCCCCACAGATGAAATCAGATGTGAGCTGTGAAGCAAAATGTGATCACAAGAGGTCATTGGAGACGCAGTCTGCTGCCAAATGTGAAACACAGGCAGACATCTGGGCCTATTCTCGACACAGTCTGGATACTTAACACGACAAGAGCCATTAAATTACATGCTCATCACCGAGTTCAAGGCTTCAACTTGGCTCTTTCCATGTTATATTTTATTTCTCTTTTATTTAATTTTACTGCAGTTTGCATGTGCTTTGTAACTTAACTTGACTTGAGCAACCACCTCCGTCACAATCCAGCTGTTAGAACAGTTTTAGTTATGTTATTTATAACAGTGTTTATAGAATATAACTAACGGAATTATTTCCACAGTTTGCACTTTTTATGAACGAACGAATTCAAGGTGGCGCTCTATGTCTGACATAAAAAATACATAAAATATGCATTAAAAATAGATTATCATTATTCTAACTATAAATTATTAAAGAGAAAAACATAATCAGGAGAAAAAAAGAAAATGATGAACTGTTTTGCTTAAGAAATTCTAGATATTAGAAACTCAAATACAAAGCAGGCAGCAGCAAACACTTGTTTTTATGATTTGTACCAAACTACACAAAACCTAATACTAAGTCATTTGTAGGAAATAATTATAAATTATATTTCCTGGAGATTAATTAAAATACAGGATCCCTGAAATAAAGCATTACCTTCAGCTTTGAAATGTAAATCAAAATCCTAACCATGTCTCCCCTGTGTCTGTAGGAGATTACCCTGCATGCACCTCTTCCACCAGGCATGTGTGGACCAGTGGCTGGCCACCAGCAGGAAATGCCCCATCTGCAGAGTAGACATTGAGACCCAGCTGACCCCCGACAGTTGATAGCTCCTGTCGACTCCCGCAGCTTCGGATCTGGTCTTGTGAATTCTCCATTGCCTCCCTTCTGGGGGGAAAAGCTCTGCCAAACACCCCTCTTCCCCCTCTGCATCACTCAACGAGCCCGTCTTGTGAGACGGCCGTGACAGAGGGATCAACAAAGCACACTCACCTACAACACAACGAGGGACGGGGGTTGACGCACAGATCGGCGGCTGGACTGAAGGTTGGTTGAATGGAACTTTGCTGGAGGTAAACGTAGCAGCGGACACGTATGGACAGATGTGCTGAGGCTTCACACGATTCTGTCAGTGTACCCTGTGTACATTTCTCCATACAGCCACAGAGAGAGAGAGAGAGAGAGGACACTGACTACCAACCTCCCCAGCTCAGTGCGGTGTATTAAGGCCATTTCTCTGCCACATCTAAACCCTTTCCCCCAGGCCTGTGAAAAAATCCTTTAAGCTGCACTCTGCCCAAGCCCTCAGCACATCTGTACAGAATATTATCAAATGATTAGCATGAGGTTGTTTGGTGTGAACTCTTGTAGCTGAATGCTTGTGGTGTAATGGAGTATAGTACTGAATAAGTATTTACAGAGTAACAGTGTTGTGTAGCAAGCAAAAAGACTTTTGAGAACTATGTTTGTGCAAAATAAACCTACAGAACAGAGAGGGTGACTACAGCTCTGAGAACATTCAGCGTGTTCAATCATAGGCAACGACAGGAGGAGCTAGTTGTGTAAAAAGGCCAAAAATCCCTCGTTCTAGTCTCACATGGTTTTGGATTAACGGTTGGTAGACGCCATCAGAGTTTGATGCTAAACCCGCTAACTGCAGGCATGGCTTCCAGTGATCTGTGTAGTGTCGTAGTCGGGCCTCCATAATCTAGAGCGGAGGCCTCAGATGTGCATGCTGTATGGCAGGCTTGGGCTGTGTCGTAATATTGTGGAGCAGTAGAAACAGGGACTGTGTCTGTGCATGTGAAGCGTATACTATGACGATACTGACGATCCCACTCATTCATAGAGGAGGAACGAGAATGCGACCCCCCCGCCCCCTTTCCCCTCCCTCTCTCCCGAGTTTAGACCAAAGTTGCCCTTAGACACAGATCTCGGACAAATGTAGCATTTCTCTCCTAGTGTCTGCGATTAGGATTCAAAGAGCTGCTCGGTGGATCCGTGTCTAACAGCAACTCCTCTGTGTTGCCTTGCTCGCGGCATGATCGTGGTCATGAGAGGCCGGCATGGGCTTGAGGATGCAGTGCCTGAGTCTTGCCATCAGAGTGAATAAAATCGGACATTTGTATCACCTATTACCGGAACCTTATTGCCTATCGAACAAGCACATGTGATTTCTTATATGCGGTGAATTGCCTCTGTTGTGTATCGGCTCCTTTCATTTCAAATCTAAGTTGCTCCCACTGTTTGATAAAAAAGACTGTGTCTGGTGTTACAGGGAAAAATTCAAACTAGTTTGCCTGTGATATGTGCTAGAATGTGTATGATTGTCCCCACAGCCCCCTCTCTCCCATGGTAGTCGTGTACGGTATTGCTAGAACAACTGTGACATGTTCGGTGATAGAAGCCGTTTTCTCTATATCATGCATGAACCATGTCGGCGTAGTTCACTTGAAGGAGGGTGAAAGGGAGAAAAAGCCATCCATTTGAAAAATACCAAACAATTGTTCTTAACATTAGTTTTATTTCAATTGTCAATTTATTTTTTGCCATTTCTTTATATATTTTTTCTTATTACTTGTATTCTTTTCGCTCACATGCCAATTTGGACATGGTACTAATATGCCGAGTCCCTGTCCATTTTAACCATAGTGAAGAAAAAGCTGCAATGCTGCAAAAACATATTTATTGTTGTTATAATGTAGCTTGTGTTTTGTAAATGCACTATAATATGGAGTTGCCTGATTTTTTGGTTTGGTGATGTGGGTTCTTCTTGTCCTAGATTTTGTGTTTCTTCTCAGTTTCAAGTATTTTCATGCTTCCTTGTGTATTATTGGAGGGTAACTTGACTGTTTGTGTTGCATTTCTTTTCTTTTTGTATGAGACCTCCATCCAAAAAACTACAGATGGATGAAAATGGAGGTTCGCTAGTTCACATAGAATGCTGTGATTAAAGATGCCTTAAGTATTTAACAATCATTATTTATTACTAACTGTAGCTAGCTAGCTATTGTGGTGGAATATTTAATGTCTCTATCTCATAACTTTGCAATTTAATCAATATATTTATTTAAAATAACACAAAATATTAAAAAAAGAATACCTCATTATGCATTGGTCGGTGGGGATGCTTTTGCATGCCGTCTGTGTTTTCTTTTTCAAAGGAGGAAAAAAAGAAAATTGTTGAAAAATTGACCTGGGGGGGAGTTTCCCTGACACATTTGCTAGCCAGCATGGTGCTGTTGATCTGGATTACATTCCATTCATGTCATCTCTCGATTTTACGTTTGAATGATTTCTTTTTATCGTTTAAACCTCATCCCTCCCCCTCGTCTTTGATGATGACGGGATACAGCTCCTTTTGTCTTAGTATGACTCCACAGTTTCGCTTGCTTTTCTCATATGATGGCGCTTTGTTTCCCATAATCAGTCCTAATTTTAACATTTCATCATTTTTTTTGTATTATTACAACCATGTTCACGATATTCGATCATATCTGGATCTCAGTTTAGTGCTTATTTTAGGACCCACATAACGAGCTGTATTATTCGTTCTTCTGTATCGCTGGCAGTTGCTTTGTGTGGGATTTTTGGAAGTATGTAACATGCTAACTTGAGCCATTGATCTTATTGAGCAAACTTCTGGTGTACTGTGGTTATACAATATAGATAGCGTGATTTACACCTGGGTATAATAAGCTAACTACGTTTTCGGTGTGCATTTCTTATTAATACTAATACTAATCCTGCAAATTATTATAACATGTATCGGATTGGAATGACGCTGGCTGGTCTTACTATTCTTCTTCTTTCATTTCGTGCTCTCACTGGCCTTACCCAACGCCCTCCACAGTGTACCCCCATAACTCCAGAGCGAACTGGACAGTAGCCATAGTATTAACTCAAGCTGATGAACCGGAATGAACAGTAGAACTTAAAGCACAAGCTTTTTAATGCATGTCCTTCTCAGGTTTTCCTATGTGTATGTGGGAGTAGCTCTGTAGATGTGTTTAATATGATGCTGTACCTTCTTGAATATTTCAAATGTTTCTTTGCTGCTGAAAAAAATTGTCGATTATTAACCTGCCAGTGAAAAAGGGAAGTGGCCATCTTTGTACAACACACTGCTGTTTTGCTGTAACCGCGCAATGTTTTATGATCTTGAGTATTTTATAGAAAAGTAGAAGTATGTATCAATAATATGAAAGCAATAGCTAAATCATAATGAAGAATAACATGATCAGTGAATATTGTGGAAAATCTTTAGATTCACTCTGGGTGGATTTTGTACTGTATTTATTACTAATGATGATGCAAAAAGTTGCATAGCTTAACCCAAACTGTTCTGTCTCTTTTTTATTTATTGTCTTGTATATGATCTTTTTGTATGTGTTTTTCAAATAAACTGCCTAAAATGCTGACAACTAATCTAGTGTGTGGTTTTATTTGGCATCTGGGTTTTATCATTTCATATAGAAGTTTAATTAGACATATTGACCAACTTTTGCTTTTAATTTGAATTGATTAATTGATGTACCAGAGTCCCATCTGGTCATATGGGAATAGTCATATTTACAATTCCATTGAAGCTTTAAACAATTGGAGTTGCAGCAAACTAAAATGTATAAAACTACAGTTTGTGGTGCAATATTTGAGAAAACCTTTTGTTTATGAAAATGTTGTCAACACTTTTTTAATGTGAAAGCTCCACATGCTCAAAACCTCCATTTAAGTGGTGTGTAAAACAGTGGGTATAATAGAGCCTACAATTTAATAGCTAATTTGATCCTTTTTATGACTTGATTTCCTGCATGTGGTCAGAGGAGGTAATGTGGAGCTGTTTCCACCTGTAGGTGTCAGGTGATAAACAATAAGATGAGTCTCATCAAAACAAAGAGCAAAGAAAGAACAAAACTAAATGTTTATTTTGCTGGATAATCTCTTTAGGGCAATTCAGGTCTGTTTATTTTTGACGTACAAGAAAAGATGGTCGATGGCTTTTTCTGAGGTTGGGGGGGGGGGGCGAACTAAACTGTTGGCACAAACTTAAAAAAGAACACTCGTGTTATCCTTTAAAAGAGAAACATTCAGGTCTGTTCTTTTTCCTCACAAAGCTCATCTGACATGTCATATAGAAAAACCCCACAAGCTCTCTCTAAAGGAAACGCTCGCCCACTCTTCGTCCCACGTGTCCTGCTAATATCTGGGGTAGAGCACTCTGTGAATCTGCCCGTCGGCCTTGTGAGGGTCCAGCCACTTCCCACACTGGAAGATGGTTGTGACGGAGTTGGCCGTGTTGGTCACCTCCACACACTCCAAATACCAGCTGCTGTTTGAGTGACTGTTGTCGTGTTCCACTCTGACTCTCAGCAGCTCCCCAAGGTCCAGCATCTCCAGAACAAAGCGGTCGGTCCGTCCTCGTTCAAAAAGGTTTCGGAACTTCTGCCGCAGGTGACGCTTGCCTGAGTCACCGTTGACGCCATAGACGGTGATAAAGACATTGGCGTCCGTGCCGGCTCCTTTAACATCCCCTGTAATGACGATGATTTCATACTTGACGGGAACCAGGTTGCGGACTTTGCTGGCGAAGCTCTCGATGGACTTATAACACTCAAAAGTCAGGAACTTGTCCTTTTTGGCCGCCAAGGGGATTTGTGCGTCACATTGGAAGAAATATCTGAACAGGAAGGAAAGCTTAGAGTCAAATCAACACCTTCAACGTTATATTTAATGCAACAAAATGTCCACTTACTTGTTCCCCAGCTCCTTTTCTGTAACCACCACCTCCATAACGTGCCAGAAAGTTTCACTCTTCACCTTTTTACCCTCTTTCGTTATGTGGCCGATGCAGATGCCGGCAATCTCCCCCACGTGCTTGGATGAGAACTCAAATGTGTCGGTGGCACCGCTGTGAAAGGGCAAAAAAGTTTCAGCTACAAGCAGAGTTTGATCCTGAACGGTGACTGGTTAAATGCACTGGTCTGCCAGAGAACCATTCTTTTGTGCGTCTCATGGGATTAGCTCTCCGGAGAGTGGAGGCTCTGAGAACAGAAAGTGAAGCTACAAGATAAAAGAAGGTTGAAAAACAAAACATGTGAAAGAGAGGAGATTACGTAAAGCGACATAACAGGGTTTTACCGTGAGCCAAGGCACCTAGACTCCCTTTGAAGACCTACCATAAGAACTTCTTTTTCTTATTCTCGAGAACAAACTCCTTGGAACGAGCTTTTCTTCCTTCTAACACGATCCAGGCGTTTTCTGTGGTGGAGGCATCGTCTGTGTTTGCAGTTGTTGTGGCAATTTCATATTCTGTGGGATTGCAGAGAGACGGTCGCTCTGTAATCGCTTCACATCTGGCAAATGCTTGAAATTATCTGCAATTCATTAATCCCAGACAATTAGAGAGTTTTTAATTAAGCCCACAGATTTCCCTTGTTACCCACTGGTTTTGTCACTGAGGTCTATGGAGTCGTTGTTGGCACAGGCCAGCTCCCTCATAATCTGCCCGTCATCTTCATTTTTAGCCAACCAGCGGTCGCAGGGGAACCTGAAGGTCTGGTCCATGGCCTCGTCTTTCACATCAATGTACTCGAGGTGCCAACCAGGAGCAGGGCCTGTTCACAGAAGCAGCAACAATCTTCACCCTCTCCACAAAAATGTTTTATTAAAGCAATCATCTGAATTTTCACCCTTCAACAATTTCGAAAACGCGCTGTGCACCCTCCGTGCATCACAGCAACCAAATCCAGAGTTAGACAGTCTGAAAGATTTACTATATTTCCTAAAGTATTCTTTTAATGTCAGGGAACAGATGCATTTTCCCCCTTACAAACAGGGAAAAGGCAGAGCTCAAGTAAACGTATGAAAAAACAGGTTTTACTCACCTTTGTTATCGTGCCACACTCGGACCTTGGACAGTTCGCCCAGACTGAGAATTTCGGGGAATCTGAACACATCCTTCATTTTACGCTCGAACTTGTTCCTGTTGGTGCTCTCCTTCAGAGGCAGCATCCCGGTGTCGCCGTACTCGCCAAACACAATCACAAACACGTTGGCATCAGTGCCGGCACCTAAAACACCAGAGATATTTACTCAGTGTTAGATCTGCCCGAACAAAGCTGCATGAATGGTACCATGACCTGGACACAGTATAATAATCTACTAGTAAAATACGAATAACGAATAAACCTTGTGGCCTCACATATTGTTAACACTGGATATAAACACACTTTACCAAGTAGTTGTGGAATCCTTTTTCTGTCGATTGACTCATTGATGCTATTATTTAATAACACATATTAAACTCCGATGACTCACATCCGACATCACTGGTCTGGACTTGGATGATGTAGGTTGTTTTCTCCACCATCTCTTCCTCGTCCACCACGGCTGCCAGCTCACACACCTTCGTCCTCTTTGGCCCTTTGGTCTTTGACAACCAGTTCTCGTAGGTAAACAGATACACGTCTTCTGTGGTCAGGTTCCGCATCAGGATCTAAAAGCATTTGTTGAGACATTTAAGTATTTGTGGCCCAAAAGTGTTAAACAATCATAATCACATTCGTATTTTTGCCTCTGATTCAACTGAATTGGACAAAATAATGAAGATGCTTTTTTTAAATTCAGCTTTAATTATCTGTTCCGTCTTAAATGTCTCCTTTTTATATTGAAATCAGACAACTGCAATTTTTTCAAATCGCATAATTAAGAGTTTTAAGAAGTCTGTGACTTTTGTTACACAACAATATTCTATTATCTTTGAAGGAATTTCACAAGTGCCATTGTTACACTGTCAAGAAACCAGTCGGGGCGACTCCCGCTGCCATCGATCCGAACTCTGATCTTCTTCAGAGGAGCAATGTCATCGATCTCCAGGTTGAATGTGTCTTCTTGGCCTCTTTCAAACCTAGATGTGAACAATTTACTGTTGTAAATATCATCTCACATTTAAAAGCAAAACAAAATAACTATGTAGCTATAGAGACAGCAGACATTTAGCTTATGACCTAAAGAGAGGAAACCATGAACCAAATGAAAAAGTCAAAGTTCATGTTGTATATATTGAAGATATTTTACGTAGTTCTTGTCTTAAGTTTGGTTTGAATTAGTTATTTGTTGAAAACGGGCTAAACATCATGATTGACAGCTGAGGCTGACTCGTGATTGGTCAAGCACTTAAATCACTAAGACCTCAGAACTGCCCAGACTCTGACTCTAGTTCATGTCAAAAGCACAAGATGGCAGCCCCTGCATCCTGGGTATTTTGGCTTCAGTTTTGCAGAACAAGAGGAAGTGGAGACCTGTCGTCCATCTTCATAATCAGTCTATGATGGAAATGAGTGGAAGCAGCAAGTCTGTCTCAACACAACAAAATCCACTAACCAGCACGTCACTGACTGACACATTATATCACTTTGTTTAATCCATAGAAAAACAAATTTAAACATTTTTACAGAGTTTTTACACTCTCTTGGCTGTTAGAAATGACTCTTGTTTCCACACTTATGTTTTTGAATGAGCTAAACAAATAAGATATGATGTTTGAATGTGTGAACATTAGAAATGTTGTTGGCTTGATTTTGTTTCATTTAGTCTGCAGGCTTGTTGCTTTGTGCAGCTTGATGCAACTTCATAATAAGAGCACATATATAAAGGTGTAAGTCTACTCATTTAGGTCTCATGAAGAAATCAAGTGAGCATGTTCCCTTTAAAATGTCTCACGATTCCTTTCTTGACAAGTGATCTGTGGGATTGTGAGGTCATAGGAGGACGGACCTGATCTCATTTTTGGGCAGCAGCATTTCCTCTGTGCTCCCGTTGGCTCCGAACACAGTCAGGAAAATGTTGGTGTCAGTCCCTGCGTACTGAGTGTCACCCGTGACCACAGTGGCTGAATAAACAACCTACAATATCCAGTAAACAACACAGATACAGGTGAGACAGAGTCTGTGTTTAACAGATAAAACGACGGTTTTCCACGCTGTGATATTTCTGGCGCAGTCTGACTCACTTTGCGGATAATGTTGATGGTGCTGGAGTCCAACACGTTGAACAGTCTGGCAGTCAGACCGTCTCCCCGGTCTTTAGCCAGCCAGCACTTACATGGAAAGATGTACTTGATACCTTTGGTTGGCACGGCAACCGACAGCTCATTCACCAACCAGCAGCTCTCTGGTGTGACGCCGTTATGGCCGAGCTGAGGAGGAGATGGTGGGAGGAGAGAGAAAGAGGGGGAAGGTAGAAGTGGGAATTGATACATCATTTGATTTTGGCACCGGAAGGCAAGAAATTAATTATGCTGCGTGAGAATGGCTTTATTTAAATCTTTAACGTCATGAGGAGGCAGCAGAGAGGAGACGGCTTCGCAGATTGAGCAACAGAGACGGTCCCAGATTCTCACCTCCACCCTCTTGATCTCTCCTACGTCAGTTCCATAAGACACAAAGTGCTCCATGGTGCCAGCTGTGAAGGACGTCTTTCCCTCAGGCAGGTCCAGCCACAGTCGCTCTGTCTCAGTCTCGCCGGGGCCGATGATGATGACATAGACCCTGGCTGTGGTGCTGGCATCACGGTCTATTCCCGTGGACAAGGTGAAGTGATAGGGAATGACTAGGAGAGAGAGAGGACATTGTCAAAATGTTTCATTTTCAAATTTCACTTTAAATAGTAAAGTTGATCGACATTTAGGGAGATTATATTCCAAGGGCTCTTTATTAGCACTATGTAATCATAGTCTTGTGTCTGTGCCGTGTAAAGTCTTGAAAGCTCTTTAAACCTCTGATTAAGAAACAATTTAGTTTTCTTTTTTATCCCCTTCATCGCCACAATTGTTTTTTTTTAGTTAAAGCTATAATCTTTAATTAGTAAGCTGTTAAAGTGTTTACAGACGGTTTCTCATCCTGAGCCAAGTACGCCATTTTCCATTTTCAATCTGTTGCTGCCTGTAACTCCATTACTGTGTGGATGTGAGAGTGCATGAAGCTTCTTGTCTTGTCTTTTGCACAATGGCTGACAGTTTCTTCACCTGTTCATCTGTTATTATACACAAACTGATGACACAGCTATAATTATAACATTTTGAATGATCTCTAAAAGGTTTCGCTTTTACTTTTTAAGTTTTGCGTGCAGTACTTTTTGGATTCTTTTTGAATTCCTTCATGGCTTTGCTGTGAGAGAACAAAATGCATCAACAGGAGATCATCTACAGAGACTTAGTCTCCTCTTTGAAAAACATGAAGAATAGTTTTGTGATCTTACTTGGACCCTCTTCCACCACAGCCACTTTTTTCTTCTTTTTCTTCTTGTTGGCATTTCTGTCCAGTCCAAGTTTGGCCTGAGCCAACTTCTTGGAAATTGGATCAGTGCCTCTTTCACCTTCATACCCCTGCACCACACAAATACAAATACAATAACAACCATTTCAGAACTTGTTTCAATGCAGCAGCAGTTGATAGAAAATCAGAGACAAAGAGCACATTTACATGGCATCTGTGCCAAAGTGTTGTGATAGATGAATGAAGGTGTTGCTCGGTGCTCAGACCCAAACCAGCAGCAGAAGATTCAGAATCTTACAGCACAGATAGATTCAATCAGTTCAATGAGGCTAAAAACATGGTTTAAATAACGTAGTTTTGAATGCCGGTGCTTAGAGAAACTTGGATGACACCACAGCAGAAGTATGGAGGCATATTATGTTTTTGTTTTTTCACGTTTGAAGAATCGTTCACCATTTACTTCAGTTGTATTGAATTTGGCTGAAATGCTATTTACCCCTGAAACTCCAAAAGTGATTTGTGGGCTCAAACACTTCACCCACCCCTCCATCTGCACAGTGGTGAGCAGATAATTATGTCAATTGAGTGAATTATCTTCTTTAACATGCTGACTTGCTCACTGTGAATTCTCCCCACACTGTCTGACTATTTCGACACTTGGGCTTAAAGGGACATTAAGTAATTCAACTGGTTCGGTTCATTTGCTTCTTTCCCTCCCCACCTTGACGAAGAAGGTCCTCTCAATGTGTTTGTCCTCTCTCTTTGTCGACAGCCAGCGCTCACACAGGAACATGTACACCTCCTCTGTTTCCAAATCCAGCACCTCCACCTGGTCCAGGTACCAGTCAGCCCCCATCATGGAGTTGTCGTGGCGAATACAAATCTTAAACACTTGCCCCAGATCCACAGCCTCGATGGAGAACTTGTCCACCTGAGGGGCAGAGAGGATGTAACACGCTCAACCTCAAGAGAGCTCAAAGAAATGTGACGTAATCAATCACACATTTCCCCACATACCGCTCCTCTCTCAAACTTGTTCTTGTTGCTCTCAGATTTGGCCAGTTTGCGCTCTCCTGTGTCTCCCAGGTCTCCGTAGATGGTGAGAAAAACATTGGCATCAGTCCCGGCTCCGTGCGTATCACCTGTCCGCACTGACACGTTGTACGTGTGAGCTGTGGTGGAAAAACAAATCAATTATCAACTAAGTATTCAGGCTACACTTTTTCTACACTGTTTTCTCTCGGAGTTGTAAATGATGAGCAATTGTGTTCATGCTGTGACTGTGACCATATGCTTGTTTATTTTTTAAATTATTCAAGGATTGCTTTGTCTATGAAATAAATCAAAATGGTTTCCTAGAGTCTGCTCTTTTCATTTATTATTTAATTACCTCTCTTGTGTCTGTTTGTGTGTTGGTTGTTTCCAACCTTCCTTCCTTTGTGATTACCTGCTCTGTTGTGTCTCATTACCGCCACCCCTCGTGTGTGTGTGGATGTGTTTAAATAGTCTTTTTAACAGGAAGGTTCCTATAATTGAGTGGAACAAACCATAATACCAGCTGTTTAAATTCTCTGAATGATCAGAAAAGGAGCTTTAGTGCATCTTAAAAGGAAAGGAGAAAATGCCGTCCCACAATTCATTTCGACAGCGGCATTTTCAGCAACGCACTGTTGTTGTTGGACACGGGCAGACCATAAATAAAAAGAGAACAGAGGTTTTATTACATATTAACTTATGGATACCCTCCCATGATTGTTCTACAATAAACAAAGTTGGTTTGAAAGAAAACTAATGAAAAATACATGGAGGCTGTAAAAAAAAGTTTTTTGACAAGTAATTTACATTAGTTACTGTTTATAGCTGATTGTACAATTATGTTCCTTGGTTTATGAGAATTTAAGACTTAAATTGGTGTTAACCAAACTATTTTTTTTAGATTATTCCGACACCACACGAACACTTCGTAAATCTATTAAGATTTTCTGCTCCTTCTGAATTCTCCTTCTTTACTTGACTTCATGATGTTTTCCATTGATAGTGTTCCCCTTCATGAGCTCATCTGTGCAGGATTCCTTTTCCCATGCATATCCTTTGCTTGTGTTTCCTTGTTCACTAGGAGCCTGCATATTGTTTCCTGCTGTTTGTTCCTGCTCGTCCTGTCTGTTTATTCACCTGTTTGTCTGTAACCTTGTTTTTTACTTGTTTGCCAGCACTGAAATGAGAGTAAACCTACTTTCCAGAGCGTCCTCCACCTCCGTCTCTGTGGTTTTCAGCGTCCCATCCCTGAGGAGCTTCTGTGTGATGATATCTGAGGGGACCAGCTCCCTCACCGTCTCCCCGTCATCTTCAGATTTGGCCAGCCAGCACTCACATGGGAAAATGGTCGTCTCTGAACCCTGTGGTTAAACACAGACATATACATCCCCAAACTGGGCCCATGCAGCTGTGTCTGTCTAACGTGTCTGATGTGCGAGCCAGACGGTGTTACATTATTCATCTTCTAATGAGGGCAAAGATAAAGAAACTCTAAATGATGCACTTATTGACACAGATGTAATCTCAAATGTTTCCCCCACCTTTCCTTTCCTGAGCTGTCGTCTGATCTCCACTCTGTCCAGGTGCCATCCCGGGTTGGTGCCCTTGTTGTCGTGTCCGATCCTGATCTTCTCTATAACATCACCAACATCCTCCAACTGGGAGAAGACATCACAGTGTTTGCAGAGCTGCAGCCGCAGTCTACAGGGGCGTAAGAATCCAAAATCTGCACACTCACCTCTACGATGAACATGTCCTCAGCTCCCCTCTCAAAGTACAGACGTCTCTCTCTCTTGTTGACACACAGGGGTTTCTGCTGTGTGCTCACTCCTTTACGTCCATACAACGCTATAAACACATCAGCGTCTGTTCCCGCACCAAACACATCGCTGGTGAAGATCTTGATCTCATAGGGCACAACTGAAAATCAGAGGGAAACAGGCAAGAGGGACAGTTCAATACATCTTTTCACATGCTTAGTCTTAGAAAGGGGAAAAGTCACAAGCTAAAGAACTTCATAATAGTTTTGGCACTTTACAGAGCCCAAGACCATAAAACACTTTTTTATTAAACATTGTGCACAAAACATAATATCTTGTAAGTGCAAGAAAAAAATGTGTGTGCACGTTAATATCTCATGTGATCAAGATGATAAAATATACAGCATATCATATTTTGGGTATTTTGACAAAACTTTAGTATCATATTCTGGACTTTTACATTTTGGTATTTCCACTCAAGGTATTCACATTTTGTAAATCAGAGAGAAGTATTTTATAACAGTATGATGTAAATATGCATTTTTGTTTGTCTCTGTATGTAAGACCTGCGATGTACTAGTGACCTGTTCAGGTTGTACCCCGCCTCTCGCCCAACGCAAGCTGGGATTGGCTCCTGCTCACCCTGTTTTTTCTAGAGAGAAAATATACTCGCCAGCATGACTGTATCTTTGGCTGCTATGTTTTTGTGTAATGTGGTCAGTTTTATGTGTGAAGAGGCAAAGAGTGCTATAACAGTTGTGCAGTTTAAAAGGATCCACAGCGACACTATAACACTTACACACAGTAATAAAGACTCAGTGCTGTGACAAGCATCCTTCTTCACGTCCACCACTTTCACTACATTTTACTGCTCATGCTTCAACGCTTTCAGCTGAGTAAAATTAACATGAAGCACTTTAACAGGAACGTTTCGTCGTCCGTCGGTGCATTGCTGCTTTCACTAATGGACCCGAGGCTGTTCACTTACACGGCATGTAGAGCTCAGTCTGCAGCTCAGCGGGATACAGATCCCTCACCACCGCCCCATCATCCTCGCCCTTATCCAACCAGCGGCCACATGGGAAGCGTAGTCTTTGACCCTGCGAGGCTGCGTCGATCTCGACCCAGTCCAAGAACCAGCCGGAAGAACCCCCTGACAATTGGACCGTTATTCAGTTTCATGTACTGTACTATAATTGCTGGTCTGTGGAGCCTTTTCTTTCCCCACCTGAGTTGTTGTGTCCGATGCGAAGCTTCTCCAGATCGCCCAAGTCCACTGCCTCCACGGTGAACTCATTGATCATCCCCTTTTCAAACTTGTTCTTGTAGGTTTTACAAGCCTTTAAGTTGACGATCCCTGTGAATAACAATGAAAACATTCAACTCAGATTGCTTGGCCAGTAACATGCAGCATGAGGTTACCACAACGACGCCAGGATGTTGGTGAGGCGCAGCATCTCACCGGTGTCATCATTTTCTCCAAAGAGGATGGCATAGACGTTGGCATCGGTTCCAGCGTACTTCTTTTCTCCGGTTTTTACTTTAATGGTGTATGTGGTAGACATGGCTGTAAGATGAATTTAACAGGTCAGTATAATCGTCCTTTTCATCTTCACAAATGCTGTCGTCTGCACCTGAATCTTTCACCACCACCACTTACATAAATTCATGAACCCTTTGATCTCCCTCTACTAAAACATGAACAAAGTGAAAGTGTTTTACATTTCTGCTCCAGGCCCAGCGTGGCGGCGGTCCCCTCCTCATCCTCATCCTGCCTCATGAAGGCCTCGTCCACTGGCACCAGCTCCCTCGCTATCTGCCCATCGTCCTCATCCACTGCAAGCCAGCGGTTACAAGGGAAATAATACCTGCGGACACAAGAAACTTCACTGATCAGCACCTTAACTCAGAGGCCACATGCTTTTACATCACGTCCAGCTGTTTGCCGGTTTCACCTACGTCGTGTCCTCCTTTGTGTCCACGATCTCGACACGATCCAGGTACCAAGAGGAGTAAGACTGGGTGTTGTCATGGCGAATCCGCAGCTTCTTCAGAGGACCCAGATCAATGGCCGCCACTGTGAAAACGTCCTCCTGCGAAATATGGCAGCCACGGTCACTGTTCTGTTACCGACAACCAATCTCTAAGAGTTTCATTTGATAAAGTGGAAATGATGGTGAGTTTAAATGTCTGATCCTTTGAAAAAAAGTACATTTGATTATATGTTATTATCAAGATCAATGACAGGATGTTCAATACAACTGTAACTATGACATCACTGTTAAAACATAAATAAATTGACACCTCTGGCACTGACAAAAACAGAAGAATTTAAGTCCTTGTATTGAATGACGTTAGACTGTAAAGGTGTACCTAATAAAGTGGAGACTCAGTGTGTGTTTATATGACTATTCAGGATCTGCAAAGTAACTGGTACCTATAGTGTAAAAAGTACAATATTGATCTGAGAGATGCAGTAGTAAGTTATAAGTTATCATCAGCTTGAAAGTATAAATATGGTTTACAGTGGTAAAGTAACTGAGTTAAAGTACATTCTACCATTGAAATACCAAATCAAACCGGGGGATGTAAAGCATCCACCGTTAGGTAATACAGACTCATGTTTCCGAAGCAGATGAGGAGGAGTTTTTTGTCTCCAATGTGAAGAATGAACTTTTAATCTTTCTCAAAGTTCTTTAAGTTATTGTCCTCATCAGAATTTGTATTAGTTACTTATTTCTGTCTGAAATAAATACAGCACGTGTAGTTGTTTCTAATCCTAAGCAAACATTCCTGTCACTGACTGACAAGACGCTTTTGTGGCTTTTAATCCGTGTGAGAAAAATAAACCTACTTGTCTGTGAATATGAGTTTTTTGTTCCGACAGAAGCAGGTGTGATGCAGACATGAATAATTCACCAATCAGGATTAAGTAATGAGTAAAAGTAGGGCAGGTTCAATGACACAGAGGAGGCCTCGGAGCTGCTCTCCGTCACAGCTGGCTCGCCTGCAGGGGAGCTTGTAATCCTCCCAGAATACACCTCCACCCACACCACGGTGGAAGTGCCTGAGTCTTTGACTAACTGGTTCATTTCCAGCACGACACCCCTCCAGGAATGTGGATAGAACTGTGCAGCCCCAGTAAAAAATGCATGTTGTGTAAAATTTGAAATCCAATTAAACATTCCTACTGTTGTCAGCTGAGAAACAATATAATATGTAATTTAAATGATTTACCTTCCCTGCAGGTTTTTAACAAATCTAAATAATTCAATACCTTCATTTTATTTTCAGTTGATTTAAAACGTCATACCTGCCCGCGCTCAAATTTGTTGAGGTTGTCAGAGTTCTTGAGATAGCGCTCTCCGGTGTCTCCATTTTCTCCATAAATATTAATGAAGACGTTGGCGTCAGTCCCAGCTCCCAGCATGTCACCAGTGAAGACGCACACTTCATAGGTGTTGACTGTCAGACAACACAAGGGATGAAATTACTAACACCTCTTTAACCTGCCACATGCTGCATGTCGGTCAGGAAACTATGTCAAATCAAAACCATGCATGTCCGCAACATCAGCACTGAGTAACAGATGCAGATATGTGATATGTGACTGGAAAGAATAACGACCAGAATGGAATGTTCTTATGAAACAGAATAAAAATGATGTGTGTGCCTTGTTTATTTAGTGAAAAACTTAAATTAACTCAGTACTCGATATTCATGGTTCTAAAATCTGATCTGGTTAATCATCTTTTGATTACATTTTTAATTAATCCTTAAGATTTGATCTTATCAATCATTTGAAATAATCAGTATTTAAGAGAACATGCTTGCATGTATACACACAAATATCTGCCGTGTGCTCTGATGATCGACTCTGCTCTCCAACATCTCACTTGATTGTTTTTATTTTGTACCTTCCAGCTCCTCGGCCTCCTCGGGCGGTAGCTCCACCACCAGCTCACCATCCTCCTCTCCCCCGGCCAGCCAGCGAGAACATGGGAAGTGATACGTGAGCACCACTTCCTGCATCTCCTCTCCTCCATCCTCATCCTCATCATCCTCATCTTTCTTCTTTTTCTTCTTCTTTTTCTTGTCCTCCTTTTTCTTCTCTTTGGGCACCAAGGCCATGATTAAATGTTTGACGTCCACTGACTCCAGGAACCAGCCGGATCCGATCCCAGAGCCATCGTGACCGATGCGTATCTTGAAGATTTTCCCCACATCTTTTCCATTAATCTGGAGAACAATGTGTGATATTTCATCTCAAACACACATCTGGACAATAACTTTGTACTTTGGCATTTGAGATGCATTTCCACTAAAAGTTTTAAATCCAAGCTTCCATACCTTGAATATTTCTGTGGTGTTCCGCTCAAAGTTATTGGACCTGCTCTCGAGCCTGATGACCTCTGTCTTTCCTTTGTCTCCATAGATCTGGATGTAAACTCTGGCGTTGGTGCCGGCAAACATCACATCTCCAGACACTACTGTTACCTCATAGTTTATCACTGGAAAATACAAATTGTCAAAGTACACACAAATCAGTTTTGGTTCTGGCTCATATGCTTAGAGTACATTTACACTTCGGACCCGATAAAATAAGAGTAACAGCACAAAATCTGACAATATTGCTTTGACAAATATGACAGATATTGAAATGATACTCACATTTTATATGTTGATTAAAATAACACAATCGTTTCTTATTCTAGTGTAAGAAAGTGTGACCTACATTGCTCCATCTCCAGGATCTCACTCGGGTAAATCTCCACCTCTGTCTTGCCGTCGGCCTCATCCTTGCTCAGCCAGCGGTGACTGGGGAACATGTACTGTCGTCCGTGGACCGGAACCATGATCTGAACACTGTCCAAGAACCAGCCGGCGCGCATTCCTTCATTGGTGTGGCCGATCATCAGACGGCTGATCTGGAAAAGGAATAAATGGATGATGCTATTCAAAGTTCATGGATAAACATTCATTCAAAATCTTCAACTGTTCCCCTTTAATATTTGATTCTAAAACTTCTCTCAGTCACCTGTCCAATATCGAAGGTCTCCACGGTGAAGATGTCAATGCGGCCCGTCTCAAAGTAGTTCCCCAGGTTGTTGGCGGAGACCACCAGCATCATCTTACTGGTGTCACCTTTCTCTCCGTAGAGCTTGACGAACACGTTGGAGTCTGAGCTGCTTCCGGGGATACTTCCTGTCTTCACTGCGATTTGATAGTCAATGTCTGACACACACAGATATACAGTCAGCTCCATGTTCAGGGTTTAAATATAAATGTTAAAGTAAAAGGGGACATACTGTAAAGACGCTGTCCATCTGAGAATGGCACCAACTCCCTAACAATCTGTCCGTCATCCTCATTGCGATCCAGCCACCTGCAAAAATTATTCAGTAATCAAACTCTCATCTTTACTATTATTTTATTACTATTATTTTTTCTAATTATTATTTGACACTGTGAAGGTTGCACCTGTTGCAGGGGAACTCTACGGCTTGGGCCTCAGCCTGTCCCTCCTCTCTTACAATCACTTTGTCAAGGAACCAGCCGCAGCCTCCACCTTTCCCATCATGTCCAATCCTCACCCTGCGGATCTGCCCAATGGCCACTGCCTCAACGATGAACTCATCCAACTAGAAAACAAAAAAAACTTAATGTAAAGTTACATCTTTTATGACAGATGTGGATCCAGAGTAAATCCAGGACTTTCTTTAACATTGCAAGAAAGGGCGTTTTCCGACATTGTCACAATTTTCCTACAGAATAATTCATGGATCTTAATCAAAAAAATGCTGCTTGACTGAATTTAAGGGGAGTGTTGAGCCTTGGCGGATATATGAGCTCTTCTAAAATGCTTTTCTCATTCAGTGTGTGTTTTCAGTATTTGTTCTGCAGATAAGTTGTAGAATTCCCATGAGCATTTTATAAAAACAAAACATTTTCGATTAAAATTAGAGAGTGGAGATTCATATACGTTTCTTAATCGGCATCATCACTGCAGCTAATTGGGTTAATTGAACTCATGCTGATTAGTGATTTTGATCTTGTGATTTTTCTCAATGTCTAACACTGATGCACTGCGTGTACCCACGTTTCCTTTCTCAAACTTGTTGATGTTGTTTTTGCAGTTGACCAGCTGACGATCTCCGGTGTCTCCGTGGTCTCCGATCAGATTGAGAAACACAGATGCATCCGTGCCGCTGCCGCCGACCGTCCCCGTGCAAACAGTCACTCTGTATTTTATCACTGCAGAAAAGAACAACATTGATCAACAAAGTTTCATTCTATGTGTCTGCGTGAGCAGATTCTTGGTTGTGTTCATACAGGGCAGCGGCTCGGCGATCAGGTCTCCGGTGGCAGGAAGCTCCCTCACAACCTCATTGTCGTCCTCATTGGTGTCCAGCCAACGCTCACAGGGAAACGTGTACTTTTCCTTTGTTAATGTCTTCATCAGAGTCGCCTATCAGGAAAAACACAATGGAAAAGTCTGTTGGAGTTGATATGTGAGGTTGTGTCTGGATTGTCATTAAGTTTGAGTGTTTAAATATTGTCTGGAATCCAGAACTGTTGGAGGATGCTTAACTGCCGAATGATCCCACAAGGATCTTTAAGATTCATAAAGAAACTATTGCTGATGTCAAAAATGGAATCAAGATATCTGATATAATATATAAATATATACTAATATTAGATAAGAGGTTTCTTCACCTTGCTGAGATGCCATCCTGCAAAAGGATTTCTCTTCTCGTGCCAGATACGGAATTTGGTCAATTTTGCCAAATCCGGCAGCTCCACCTGCAAATTCACATTAAGATAAAAGCAGTTTTCTACACAGTGTCCTTATCCGACAAAGTTGATGATAATATGTGTGAGGGAAGGCCTCTTACCATAAACCTGTCCACCTGTCCCTGTTCAAAATTGTCAGTTTTATTGTCCAGCCTGATCTCGTCTGACTTGCCCTTCTGTCCATACACCTGGAAAGAGATGTCTGCGTCTGTCCCTGCACCGGAAAGATCCGACGTCCAGATCCACAAGGACCAGGGGTGCTCTGAGGAGAACCAGGTCAAATCAGGATCTTGGATTCAGCAGTAATGTCATGGTTTGGTACATTTTTGTTTAAACTCTGTTTTTGTCTCCTTTTTTTAAGGAAAAAGAGAAAATGAGACGATTTCTTGTCCGACCATAATTATTGACGTTAACTTACTTTTCTGTCTCTTCTGCCTGAGCGAGACCATCTCATAGAGCTCTCTCTCAATCAGCCCGTCTCCCTCCTTCTCATCCAGCCATTTACTGCAGGGGAACGTCTGCTCGATCCCTGTGAAAGGACAATACACCACCACCTGTGAAGAAAAAACAAACATTGATTATCAATTCACACACCAGAGTGTTCACATGTACAGTACGTGTGTGTGTGTTCACTGTACCTTCTCGCAGTACCACCCAGAACTGACTCCACCGTTGTCATGTCCGATGGTGACTCTGCTGAGGGGACTGAGGAGTGCAGCGATCTCCACATTAAAGATGTCCGTCAGGCCCCGCTCGAACTTCCCTCCCGCCAAAAACACCTGGATGAAATAAACCACATCAGATCACCGAGAGAAAAGTGCTCAGAGTGGGGGTGGTGGAGGCCGAGATCATCAGCCTTTCACTTTAGTATTGTTTTAATTTACTTCAATTCCATTCTTGTTGTTGTACTGTTGTGAAGCTTAAAACACTTATTGTTACTTATTATTTTTTTATCCACTCAGTTGCTCCATTGCTCTGTAAAGTAAAGTTCAAGTTTCTAATCTACAGTATCCTGTCATTACCCTGCCACTGTTCTTCAGGCCTTTGGATCCGTGCATCATGATATGGATCTTGGAGTTGGTCCCAGCACCTCGGATGTTTCCTGTCACAATCTGGACGTTGTACACAATACCTGGCGGGTACAGTTACATGTCAGGCTATCACAGGCTCTGCCAGCAGGTCATTATGGTTCATGGCACCAATACTCCCTGAGCAGGAGTCAGTCAGTCAGATCTAAACATCGATATCCTTACAGGAGAATTAATGATCACACTGCAGGCTTTTCATCAAACTGGAAAGAAAACAGTCGTCTTTTTAGAGCCATCTTGATGTTAAAAGTCAAAATCTAAATGAGGCAAATCATTCAGAGGAAGCAACATTGAAATAATTTTGATCATTGCCATATTTGCATTCAACTGATGAAAGATGAAATGTAAGGAAGCTGCATTTTATTTAAGGCTCATAAAAGACATTTCTTCCAAATCTCAACCTCACCTGTGGGCTGGCTCCCCCCGACTAAAACATCCCTCTGGATCTTCCCGTCATCCTCGTCGATGGCAAACCAACGATTAACAGGAAACTCGTAAACTATTTTGTTTCCCATATCGTCCACTACCACCTGGAAGAATTTTAAAAAGAACAAGATAATCACATGATCACAGCCAACATATAATTAAAATCTGTAGTAAATACAGTTATGAAAAGTTACAAGTAAAGTTGGTGTTGTATGAGATGAAGTTGGTTGCAAAAATACAAATAGATATTACAACTACTAGGTATTAAAATAGATTACTAGTCTGTTCTAGTACCTTTTCTAAATACTAGCTAAATTAAATAAATAATAGTAAATTGGCAGATGATGAATTTATGAACAATAAAGATTAATTTACAGATATTTCCTGCAAGTGAACCGAAGTAAGAATGTTTGCAACTTATATTAAAACTCAAATTTTACTCATGAATATGTCATCATCAATGTTAGACAGCAGCATAAACCGCACAAGCATTGAAAAGTTCATTGTTATCTTATGATTACTTTGGTTGTCACTGATCTTTGGTGTCAGTCTCTGCTGCAGCAAATCTATCGCCTCTTCTGTTTGGTGTAAGCTAATCCTTTAATGGGGCACGGTTTCTCTTTACACAAAGGGTAGAATGACGACATGTGTGTGTGTGTGTGTGTGTGTGTGTGTGTGTGTACATGTCTGTCATCTCTTAGTTATACACATTGTATGTGTTGCAGAGCAGGGACATGAGTTGCAGATGAGGGGACTGAGAGGAAATAAGAGGCTTGTCTTAAGTACCTTTGTAGAGACAGAGCTGAGCAGAGTGAGGGACAGACAGACTCTATGACGGAGGATTTGTTTCATGATCATTCACTAAAAACCCTTAATGTGCTCACAATGTTATTCTTTATTCGTCTGTCTTGATTACTGATTGGTTGAGAGCCATCTGTTTTATCTTTGTTTTACCTTGTCCACAAACCAACCCGCTGAAGAGCCTTTGTTATTATGGCCGATGGTGATCTTCCTCACTTTGCCCAGGTTTGGTGCATCGATGGTGAACTTGTCCTCGGTGCCTTTTTCAAAGTTATTTTTGTCGTTGTCAAGTCGTCTCTCCCCTTGAATAGAAACAAATTGTTAAAGTCATCAGATAAAGTCTTCGAGAAACAGTTGACTTTTTAAACCACATGTGAAAACCTGCTGCTCGGTTATTTACCCGTGTCTCCAAACTCCCCAAAGATATTGATGAAGACGTCTGCATCTGTTCCACTGCCTTTCACGTCTGCAGTGAAAACGCTCACTATGTATTTATTATCTAGAAAATTAAGAGGACAAACAAAATAACTACATTTCCGCATTACTTCAAAACAGTAAATCGATCACATGCAACCACCGTGTAGATACAAATATAAAGAATCTTGAGTCACTGAGGCAATGGGGATGATGTATGTTCACTGGCTTATGTGTACACGTACATTTGGGCATGTCCATGGGGTCCATGCTGCCCAGCAGGTCTCTGACGTAAAGGCCGTCCCCCTCTGTCTTACTCAGCCAGTTGTTACAAGCAAAGTAAAACCTCAAGTGAGGCCTGATCACATCCGTCACCACCACTCTGTCCAGGAACCAGCTGGCGCTCAGCCCAGTGTTGTCGTGCTCTATCCTGGAGCAAAAGATGTGTAACACCTCAATAAAATACCCACATTCTTCTTTTCATATTAAATCAGGAGGAAACAGACTGTCCCTGAAATTGATCCAGATCCCAGAAGCTATTAATACCGGACCTATATGCTACACTGAATAAAAATGGATCAGGGATGAAATGTTTGAGTCCAGCGTACCTTATCTTTTTCAAAGATCCAATATTGTGCGTTCTGATTCTGAACACATCTGTTTTGGCCCTTTCGAAGGCTGTGCGACTCCTGAAATCATGAAATAGGAAACTGTTCAGGAGCCAACCTGAATTTCATCATCATCTTTTCAATCATCAAACTCTTAATCACATAGTAAACACAAAAAAACCCACCAGGAAAGTGTCAGGTGGGAAAAGAAGAAAATATTAAACATTCACTCCACATGCACAATAAAACATCAATAAAATCATGCAGCAAATCACTGCATTTCAAATTTCACACTAAATCATAGTGTCTCTGCATGATGAAATAAATACCTCTTCTCTGTGCTGTTGAAGGGAAGAAAGAAAAGAACACAGATGTTTTTAATTCAAGCACAAGAACCTGCTCAATCAAATGTGAAGTCTTAATCAAAACTTTGCTTTTTATCTGAACAAATCCAATGAGTGTGATGACTTACTTGCTGGCCAGGTGGACTTTAGGAGTGATGCCATATTCTCCGAACAGAGTGACAAACACGTTGGCGTCGGTGCCGGCTCCTCTCTCGTCTCCTGTGATGGTCACCACCTCGTACACTAGAGGGTTAATGACATAATTCACACAGGAGCAGGATGGTGAGGTACAGGAGTAAACAGGGGTGTAATGTTCTGAAACTGAGGCTGAAACTGTTGTGCTCTCACAAACCTGACCCTTCATTTCACAGCTCTGATCATTCTCAATGCCGTAGAGTTTGATTGTTTAATTTGCTTTAAATTAATAATATGATCTGAACCGTGACTCAAAAATCAAGGTCTGAAATCGAATTGTGGATTTGGAGAATCTTTAAAATAGTTGGCAATGTCGTGTGACTCATGGACGGAGACACAGGACCCTTGGACAAAGACATGGAAAAGGACCCCCCCACTTTCCCTACACAGGAGCAGTAACCTCTTTCTGGGTTTGAGTTGTGTCATTTTGCTTTACCAGTGGCTGTAGGAATAACCACACTGCAATAATGCTTTAACACTAAAGTCTAAATGAGAGATGTTTTCTTTTTCTTCACACTCTGTCGACGCTAATGTTGCATTCGAGCTCTGCTGAATCTTTGGGGTCTGCATTTGTTGCACCGCAACATGAGCACGTGCAGCAAAGAGTCAGAGTCAGTGACGTTGAATACAATCCGTCAGTCAATCTGTCACAGCTTTTTTTGACTGAAAAACAAATGTAACAGAAGTTTAGTGTCACAATGAAACTAACTTTATCACTTCAGAAAGAATGTCTTTTGTTCTTAATCCTAGAGTTTCACAGCTTGATCCCTAAACGCTGCTAACAATGAAAAGCTCATTACGGCAGAAAATCAGTCTCATCAGACAACTAAAAACTTTTTTAATTTATTCACGGTTTGGAGGAAGTAGAAATAATGTTTTTCATGTAGTTATTGCAGATTATTGATGA